ATCACCATTTGCTATCAATGCATCATGATTGCATGCCTGATCAGTTTTAGACTGCAGACGTTGGTAAACGAAAATTTCAAGTCCTTCATCTTTGGCGTTCGTTGACTTGGGTGTGAGTTTGAGAAATAGTCATATTAACTGGTCTTCCTTCTGTCGTGACTGTTAAGTGCCTCCACGTTGGTTCTGACTCCTAAGACCGATGCACAACAGAAGGAAGCACCTGTCCTGCACCATCCTTGCAATTGCTCTTGTGTTGGGGCCCAGGTCTTCCTTTGTAGGCACGTGCACGTGCATATGCATTATCTGATCACCGACAGGAAAGATCTTGAAATTTTATTTTTGACAAAAAATATGCCATTCCTCTTGAATTTGTCGGGCCCAGCAGAGTAAACCATCGCTTTTCTGGTTTGAAATGGCCAATCTCAGTCCATAGCAGCTCACTAATGCCTAGGCCACGTTATGCATTCCAGTTAGGATCTGGATGCATTTCACTTCATTTCTCACTATTTCCAATTTCCCTAGAGTCATATCTCATATCCATAACTGTCTTAGTTTTGTTTCTCCGAAGAACCCTCCCTAACACACTCACTATCAAAGTAGTGATAGAAATACAGTGAAGAAAATAAGAATTGGCACGTCTATATAATAATTAGGAAGAAATAAGTAAGCGAGGGAAAAGGGAAAGTAGAATACCCAACAAAGAAACACAAAGAAACGATCGAGTGAGATCATTCTGGTGTGCTGAAAGTAATGGGTGCATGTTTGCTGATGTTTTTAGAGTCTCAAACGATCACTCCACAAATTGCTCGCTCATCACCAAAAGAGAAGTAAGAATGAGTGGAAAAATGTGAGGTGCAAATAAAAATCAAGTCCGCCTTCTCCGTAAGATTTGAAGTTAAATTGGTGTGGTCCACAAGAGGGGTCGCTGTAGTGAGTTAGAATGCTCTTGTCCCAGATCCACTAAAAACTCGCTGCCGGACATTGGGAAGGCCTCTACCTTCTCCCCAGGTTCATTGTTCTCATCTATGGAATGGTGGTGATGGCCGTGGGACATTGGAGTGGCATGCTACTGCTTCATGTGGTCATGAAGATCCAAGATGGTAGGTGCAAGAGCATTTAGTAAATTTCAAAGCACAGAACACATATAAGCCCATGTTTAAGTCTTACAACAACCAGACTCTTCCTTTGTAGGAATGAGGCCCTGGTGGGAGCAGTTTCAGCAAAAGCACGGGTATTTGTGGTCAGTGAGGCCTTCTGGGTCCCAAATATTGGGCTTCTAGGCAGTCTTCCTGGCCTAAGGTTGGTCCTGCCAGCTCGTGGATGGACTTCAAGAAGGACAATGAAGGATAGAACCAACAATAATGGGGCTTCTAGAATTGTCCTTTTCCTGGAGAATGGGGGGTGGTTGGGATTGCGTGGAAAATATCTATTTCAAGATCTTAACCAGGGCAGATAGAGTAGATAGGTTTTCAGTTGAAATTTTTGTTCCTTCTCATCCTATGGTTGATGTAGATCATTAGCAACTCCCCTTAGCAACGGAATCACTACAGCTCCCTGTTAATCATTAAGCACACGCTGAAATGCAAATGTGTTTCTTGGTGGGGAAATCCCCCGGAGAAACTTACTAATAAAACTTCATCGAACGAGTTCGTATCTATTGATCCAGTCATGATTTTACTCATCTAACACATGGGCAAATTAAAGGGGTTTGTACACAGGTGCAGTCTCTGGGGTCCTCATACCGAGGTGCGAAAGAAAGAAGTATTATGAGCGTGCAGTCAGTGCCCAGACGGAGGAGGGCATAGGTTTCAAAGCAAGAGGAGCCAGGGAAGGGATACCTGGATCACACTGAAGAGCAGCAGAGAGCAAAGAAAACTCTATAGGAGAGATGACCCGAGCTGAGTGAGGCTGGCCAGGGGGAGGGTGCGGTAGGCATAGATACTTGGTAGAGAAGGGTGTTCTGGGCCCTGGAGACCAGAGGTGCAGAGCTCATGCCATGTGGGGTGACATGGTCAGAAGTGGTGTTTTAAAGCAATCATTTGGCAGAAGTGAGTGTCAAGTTGGTTGCCGAAGGAGATGGAAGTGTCCAGGATAATTCACAAGCTTTCAACTTGGCCTTAGGGCCATTGTGGAAAAGAAGAGCCCACAGGAGGGAGACAAGTCTGGGAGCAAGAAGTCTGGTGTGGGAAACAAGGATTTCTCTCAAGCTGTCTCCCCCAGATATATGCCAGATTAGCTGCTTGAGAATGACTATACACTTGGAGGTCATCAGGAGTGGATTAGGGGTCATTCTCCCTGAGAGTTATCAGCCATCTAGACCAAGCAGACACCACTCTTTATCCCACAACAAGTAGGGCCCACTCCCTTCTGATAAGGATAGTAGTTGTCTGTTTCCTTGTAGGAGACACCAGAGAGGTCAAACCTGCCCAAGGATGACCAAGGTTAGGCTGCCATCATGAATCTAGGGTCCGCCCATCTTGTCACATGTATGCCCCTAGACCTTCCCATTCCTGTGGGCACACCCCTCGCTCATCCCCTTCCTGTTACGCTTATGCCTATCATACATCCCCTTCCTACGATGTGTATGCCTAACGTACTGCCCCTTCCTGTGACGTGTGATTCTGTAAAGATGTCCCCCCAAAAGTGATATAATGCATGGTTAGCAATAAAGGAGCTCTCTCTGGAGCCCAGGGAGCTCTCCCCAAGCCTTGGAGTCAGAGGCTCCCCAGCTCTCGGTCCCCAAGGCTGCTGCTCCTGCTCTTGTGGCCTGGTTCCTCACATGAGGACCATCAAGCGGGGCGGAGGTGAGCGATGCTACCATGAATTGTGTCTGACTCCATTTATTCCAATCTCTCCTTTAACTCTCATGATCTCTATGACTTTACAATAACCCTTACTTATTATCACTGTACAATTGCGCCTACTGGACCTGTGATGATTTGTGGGGAACCCCTCTCCCCTTAACCCCACAGTCTGGGAGCCTTGGGGTACGTCCTGCTAGAGGTATGTGGTAGGCTTGGTAGGTAGAGGGAGGGCTGGACAGAGATCCAATTGATTACAGAACAGGAAGAACTCCAGGAAGTTCTGTTAGGTAGGCTAGCTAGGGCTGGAGGATGTCCGTTAACGCATGCCCAGAGGGCCGAGCTACGGAAATAAAGGAGTGGCGCACTGCACATACTCAGAGGTTCAGGTTTCCCCGCTGGGTAGGCATGGGTGGGCGCTGAACCTGGATTGGCCCACCTAGGCCAGGTGAATTCAATTCAGCCAATAGGGACGATCAGGGGTCGTCCACCACGCCTCCCTGTGGAATCCTTGAAAAGGCAGGAGCCCAAAATTGAGCGGAACACTTTTACGTGACACCGAGAAGCTTCCAGGCAGGCTGCATGTTCAGGAGGAGTCCAATGGGTGCCTTGTAAACCTGAAACTTCTTCTAACTCTCATAAAACTCACTTGTATCACAAACCAGTCTTCGGTGTGAATTCTTTCTCGTACGGAGCCAAGGACAGAGGTATATCTAGCTCCAGAGAGATCTAACAGTTCCACCCAGCCTGACATGTTGAAGGTGGGACCCAGAAACCCAGAGATCTCCCCCATCCAAATTCCCCACCCAACTCAGGCCGCAGACATTGACAGCATCATGCCAAGGCAAGGGCATGACCCTAGAAGTAGACCACATAGGTTCAAACCCTGGTCTTACCCTTGATTGCGTGGTGGCCCCAAGCAAGGTATAGCCTGTCACTCCATGAAGTGCCACAAGACTGGCAGCCCTTAGATTATCCCATGGAAGCCCCACTTGCTCCTCTGAACCCCTTTTTAATCTTCATCCTACCTCCATTTCACCAGCAGGGAGATGGAGGTTCAGGACCCCAAAGTCACGGTGCAAAAGGGTTGGTCCTGCATTTAGTCTGCCAAGGCTGTAGGTGGATGTTCTCTGTGGCATGCTGCCAATTGCCACCACAGTGAGTGTGCTTGCCTTTTGGTTCTGAACTCCCTTTGGGGACACAAACTACCTCCACCTTCATTCAGTCTCTCATCAGCTCCCTTCGGAGTTCCTGTCTCCCAAAGCCCATCTGTAGGAAACTGGACATCCCCTTATGGAAGGGTCGCAGGGAGGAGTCGAGCCAGTCAGTGTGCAGTGTAGCAACGATGAGACATACGACTTTCCTCTAGTTCCTAAATGCTTCCTCCCCTTCACCCCCGCCACTATCATGATCCCAATTCTACCTTACAAATCTGGCTAGACCAGAGGATGTACACGGGTACAGATAGGAACTAGAAACACAAGGAATCCAGGATGGATGATCCCTTCAGGAACAGTGGTGAGAGTGGAGATATCGGGAGGGTGGAGGGAAGATGGGGTGAAAAGGGGGAACTGATTACAAGGATCTACATATAACCTCCTCCCTGGAGGATGGACAACAGAAAAGTGGGTGAAAGGAGACATTGGACAGTGTAAGATATGACAAAATAATAATTTATAAATTATCAAGGGTTCATGAGGGAGGGGGTGGGAGAGGGAGGGGAAAAATGAGGAGCTGATGCCAGGGGCTTAAGTGGAGAGCAAATGTTTTGAGAATGATGAGGGTAACGAATGTACAAATGTGCTTTACACAATTGATGTATGTATGGATTGTGATAAGAGCTGTATGGGCCCCCAATAAAATGATTTTTTTTTAATGATGAACTTTAAATAAAGAAACTAACATCTGAGACACTAAGGATAGATGACGCTGGGTGGACTGTCAGGCAGGAAGTCTCAAGGTTCAAAGCAGGAGATAGCAGGTGAGTGCTGGAGATGGGGTGAGAGTAGAGGTGGGGAGCAAAGGGAAGGGGAGGATTCAAGAGAGTAGACTGGAGGTGCCACTGCTACCCATGTGCTTTCTGTACTATCCCTCCCTAAGTGCTACCACACACACACACACACACACACACACACACACACACACACGCAGACACAGTCCCAGAGTCGTGGGAACAGGGTAGCCCTGGGAGCCACTTACCTAGAGGTGACAAAGCGACAGCTGCAGCATCCGGTGCAAATGGTCTCCCCTTTCTTAGCAGATAGGGGAGAGCAGGAGAGAAGGGAGCCTGCTGCTCACTGCATCTTGTTTGCCTTGGAAAGTCACGAGCCCAAGGTTCACAAGAGGAATTTTGAGATATTAGCTTCCTGGCAAAGGGCAGGCGGGCGGGGCTGGGGTGGCTGTCCCCGTTGGTAGATCACAGAGTCCATTGTTGGGATGAACTTCTCCCTATGCACCCCAGAAGCTCAGCCTACCCATGCCCATGCCTGGAAGGGGTGGGGGGGGGCGGGTGGATGGACATGCAGCCGCTGTGGAGTGCCACGCGCTTTGGTCTCCTGAGGACAAGGCTGCCCAGAGCTCCACTTGAACAGGGACAGGAGGACACAGAGTGGCTGGACTTGAGGGCACTGCGAAGCCACGGGGCCAGACGGGATGGGTGGATTGCGATGGCAGCAGTTTCAAGGGGTCAGGGAGATCCCCTTGTGTGTCTCCGTGACATGGCTGCTCAAGCGGGGGGCCTTGGGGGTCTATTCTGGAAGAGGTCTGTAGTGGGCAGGGTAGGAAGGAAAAGGTCTGGACAAAGATCAAGTCGACTATAGAGCAAGAGGGACTCTAGGGAGTGTCGCCTCTCCTGAAAAGGAACACAGGGTTCAGTTCGATAAACACACACACACACACACACACACTCACTGCCATTGAGTCCACTCTGACTCTTGGCGACCCTACAGGGCAGAGTTGAACTGCCCTGGGTTCCTGAGATTGTCGCTCTTCATTGGAATAGAAAGACTCTTCTTTCTCCCGAGGAGCGACTGATGGTTTCGAACTACTGATCTCACCCACGTTAGCAGCCCAGCACATCAGCACTAGGACACCGGAGCTGCCCCAGCTTGGTAGGACGAAGCTATTGGTGGTGGCCCAAATAGTCCAAGGACAGCTCTGATGCCTTTGGATAAGACTGACATGGCCAAGCTCCTCTTGGTAGACTCCACCCAAGAACACTCAAGCTTCAGCTGAAGGCGTCCCACCCAGCGCCCGGAATTCCAGGATTCAATGAAGCACCATGTCCTCAGAGTTCAAAGTCCCTTGGAAAGATGGGCACGTAGAAGACTAGACTACAGAGGGATACGGTGTAGGAGTAGAGTGATTAAGAACATAGGCTTTAGGGGCAACGAAGCCTCGCTTCAGCTCCTGCTCAGTGACCTCTAGCAGCCTCCGTTTGGTCCTCTGTAAAGTGGAGCTGAAATCCTGCGCTTCCTGCAGGGGTTACGGAAGAGCGAGTGAACCGCCGAACATGAACTTCTTGGCACAGCGCCTGGCCTGCAGTCAAAGGTCATCAATTGTCGTTACTATTGCCGGGTTCCTTGTCCAAAGGGCTCTGAAAGCGGAGAAAGACACTTCAGAGGAAGACCGATAGGTGTTGCCGGGTAGAAAAAGGGCCAAGGGTATGCCAAGCCAGGGGGAAGAGGGAGGCAGGGGGAGCCTGGTGAGGAGTCTGGTGATGGGAGGGGGCAAGGCTGAGAGGTGGGGGCAGGCAGGGCTATCCCACAGAACCTCACCCGTCCTGTCTCCAAGGAAAGCAGTACCTCGTTCCTGACATTTCTTCCAGGGAAGGCGATACCATTCCCCGCCTTCCCATCTCAACATGACCCACGTTTTGTTCTGGTTTTTGTTTGAAATGCGACTTCTTTATCAGCTCCTGGGTCCGTTCCAACCGCCTCCTTGCAAATCCATGGGGCACACAGTGTGCAAGAAAGCTCCCAAAATGCTTTGCGTGGATGGAAAGGAGAAGGGCATCCAAAAAAAAGAGGAAGACCCCGGCCGAGATGGCTCTGGCCGTCGGAAACATTGAGAGGACGGCAAGACCGGGCAGCGTCTTGCTAGGAGTCAGAATCGACCCGACAGCACCTCCCAACGACAGACACAAAGCAGCCTTGGCCCCTCCACCGCCTTGCATCCCCCGCTGGAACACCATCACCAACCACCGCGTCCTCCGAGCTCCATTCTTGCTCTCACCTGCTGAATCGTGTTAGCCGTTTCTGCTCACCACCCAGTCTATTCTGCACTTAATGTTTTGGGTTTTTTTTTTTTGTAATTGTCTATCATTCTCATCCCCCAAAGATCCATGAGATCACAGGTGGAGTGTGCTGCCGACGTGTTGCTCAGGTACGTGGTGAGAGAGATGCACGGCTATGTATGCAAACAGGGTGTGGGATTGTGTCACGTGTCTGCAGCAGACACGCTCCATCCTCTGTACCCCGAGTGTGGGATTAAAGGGGAGAGGGGACCCCACAAATCATCACAGGTCCAGTAGGCGCAACTGCACAGCGATAATAAGTAAAGATTATAGTAAAGTCATAGAGAGCATGAGAGTTAAAAGATGGAGTCAAGTAATGGAGTCAGACGCAATTCATGGTAGTATTGCTCACCTCAGCCCCGCTTGGTGGTCCACGTGGAGGGAGAGAGAGAGACTCTAATATTTCCCGAGCTTTTTTATCCCCTCTGGGAGCATGCAAGCCCCCTAATTACAGGTGAAGACATATGTCACAGGAAGGGGTTGCACTATAGGCATACACATTGTAAGAAGGGGATCTATGCGCATAAGCATAACAGGAAGGGGATGAGCTAGGGGTGTGCCCATAGGAATGGGAAGGTCTAGGATTATACATGTGACAAGATGGGCGGACCCTAGATTCACATGGCGGCCTAGCCTTGGTTATCCTTGGGCGGGTTTGACCTCTCTGGTGTCTCCTACAAGGAAACAGACAACTACTATCCTTATCAGAAGGGAGTGGGCCCTACCTGTTGTGAGATAAACAGTGGTGTTTACTTGTTCCAGGTGTCTGATAGCTCTTAAGGAGAATGACCCCTAATCTACTCCTAATGGCGTCCAAAGTGTACAGTCATTCGCAAGCAGCTAAGTCTGGCATATATTTGGGGGAGACAGCTTGAGAGAAATCCTTCTGTTTCCCACACCGGAGCAGCTTGTGCGTGCTGGCCTGAATTCCCACTGCGGCACTCTGTAGCCAGGTTGGCCTGCTGGGGAAGGTGGGGCATCCCTGTAGGAGAGGCTGATGCTAACACCCATGAATATTAACAAACACTTTGGCGTGCTCGGTTGAAAGGAGGGCAGGATGGGGCCAGTAAATGTGTTGGTAGAGGGGAAAATGAGGAGCTGATACCAAGGGCTCAAGTAGAAGGAAAATGTTTTGAGAATGAGGAGGGCAACAAATGTACAGATGTGCTTGACACAATGGATGGATGGATGGATTGTGATAAGAGTTGGATGAGCCCCCAGTAAAGTGATTAAAAACAAAAAGAGGGATGATGGGAACTATTTACAGTGAACCCTCGTTTATCGCGGCTAATCGGTTCTAGACCCTACCGTGATAAATGAAATTCCGCGAAGTAGGATTCCTTATTTGTAAATCAAATATTTTCGTAGTTAGAGCATAGAGGACCTGAAAAAACACCCCTTAGTCACCATTACACTCGTATTACCCATTTTATTAAACGAAAAAGGGAAAATACAGTAAAACATTTTGGACATTACAATTATCATTTATTATTTATTATATTATTTATGGCATCTAGTTTACAGTATTACATATTTCACATACAGTATTATTATACATAGTTCTTACAAATACTGTAATCAATAGCCTATGAAATGACTTAAGGGATGTACTCTACAGGTGGGTCGCCTTCTTTTTCCTCTGAAGGAACGGGTGTAGGCAATGGGTGCTGTTACGCAAAAACCGCGATAGAGTGAAGCCGCGGAAGTCGAAGCGCGAAGTGGCGAGGGTTCACTGTATTCATTCACCCAATACTCACAGCAAGCAGGTTGGAGCTCGAGGGGTGAGGGCTGTGAGCTCCAAGCCCCACGGCCGGGGAGAAGCAGCCTACCTCCTAAAGTCCGGGAGCCCCAGGGCAGAGGGGCCTAGAAGCCCTGCCCCTCAGGTCCCTTCACCATCACGCTTCTCCTTCTCCGTGTAGAAACAGCTCCAGCTTGGAAGCCCAGGAAGGACCTGATTCTGCTGATGGACCAAAATCTAGGGGCTGACGTCCATAAAAGGAGAAGTGAAAGGGTGGTCTTCCTGAAGGTTCTACACAGTAGGACACAGCTGGAGTCCCGGCCCGAGGAACAACCTTGGGCGGGCGTCGGCCTTGCAGAGCCCCAGACCCTTGACTGCGCTGCCCGAGACACTGAGGGTCTGGAGACAGGCCCAGCGCCCAGGCACTGGACCGCCAAACTCATCGGCTTGTCGGAATAGCTGAGATGCCTGTGCACTTGAGGGCCCAGGAGCTTGGATCCGGGAGTCGGGACAGTGGAAAGCCGCCCAGAGCTGTGCTCAGAAGCTGTGCCCTTTGGGAGGAGTGTGAATTAGGACTTTAGTTTCCTCCTCCGTGAGCTGGCATGACAGTGCCTCTACCCCATCACCGGCTTGATTCCAGCTCACGGAGATGCCCTGAGCGGAGGGTCGTAGAACTGGGCTCCACAGAGATTCAAGACTGCGGCCTCTCAGGAGCGGCTCAATAAGCCCCTTTCTCCCAAGGCACCTCCGGGCGGGTTCGAATGCCCAGCCCTTTGGTTGGCAGTTGAAGGCTGAACTCTCAGCTTCGCTTTGCTCAGAGACTTGATAGAATCACGAAAGCCTTTTTCCAAACTGCAAAGTGCTCTACCCCACTCTGCCACCAGCGGAACCTGCAATGCCATGGCAGCGATGCTTCACCTGCCCACCACCCCTGGGAAACCGCGTCTGCCCATTAACTCAGCGGCTTAAACCAGAGGGAACATCCACGGGAGAGCTGCAGTTAAGTCCCCCAGTCATTTGGGGAGCCTGGGAAGGTGGAAAGCACCAAGACAGACAAAGGGCGCTAAGAGGGGCGGTGGGAAGAGTCAACACCAGCCTGGCCATGAGCCGTCTCTCTCCAGGAGGCTTACAGCCTCACCGGGAGACAAGAAGCCGATTTCGTTCTCTTCTTGACACATCCTCTCCTCCAGAAGGTGGGAGAATGCCGGGTCATCTCACCATCCCCTACTTTTGCTCTTCTCCCCCATCGC